GGGCATATCCCAGTAGAGGGTGTGCAGGAGGCAGCTGATTGATGTTTTTCTCTCATTGAAGTTTCTAACTCTCTATCCCTCTTCCTTCCTCTCTGTAAAAAATAAATAAAATATATTTTTTAAAAAGAAATTGTTTCATATATTTTTCTGACAACCCTATATCAGAAAACTCTTGGACTTATTTCTTGGTGTCTTATTCCCTGTCTTTTTCTCTGTATGTTCTTCCCCCTTCTCCTGGATGTACAATTTTCCACCCCCCATTTTTGGATATGAACGTGTTTCTTATTAACTTATCTCCATTTCTGTTTTGTCATCTTCCATCATTTACCATCTCACCCTATTTGATTCCATACCTTTCTTTCCCTACAACGTGGACTTCATCCGTCTTCCAGGGACTTGCCAGTTTCATGATGAATATTGTGAGATGAAGGCGATTAGGAAAATAGGCACATGGTTACCATTCATATATTTCTAGAAAATGTCTGTTAAGTTGTTACCTTTTTAAGTATTCAAGTTGACAGGGCCATTACTATGCTATCAATAATTCCCCAAATTTTATTAAATGAGAGAAGACTCTAAACTTCTATTGTTCTGTCAAATACTGTGTAAATTCAGATGTCATTCCTTGCTGGAGAGTGAACCCCAGGATCACTCTTCCATTGCCTTTGATTATATAACCCAAGTTTTTGCAGTATACAAATATTTTGCATAATTTTACAGGTTTCTTTCTTTTTATTTCCCACCATTGCATCTCTTCTTTTTTTTCAATTGCATTGACAAAATTATTAATTGTGCAAAATGTAATTATTTTATGTTTGTAGAAAGTCATTATAACTTAATAAAATGTCATTCATAGTATATCTCAATTACAAAATTTTAATTTCATAGCATGAAAAGTTATCCTAGGATATACCTAAAATATTTTTTTCATACAACAATAATATAATCATTACAGGTTTAAGATCCTTCTTTTCCTACTGATATTTTTCAATTATGAATTTGTTTCCAAAAGGAATGGAATTTAGTAATATATCTCTTTAATCTATAGAGCAGGCTTCATATGTCAATAGATACCTTCACAGTCATGGACAAATGGGTGTTTTAATGTGTACATACTCATCACTTTTTAAGTATCTATCTAATACATGTGAGAGTGTTTGCATTTAATTTTGAAAAAAGGAAAGCCCAATGAAACACAAATGATTGATGCAGTTTATCTCAGATGTTTCAGTTTATCTCCTTCCATTGTGCTATATCGTAATACTGTGTTAACTAGAGGCCCGGTGCATGACATTTTTGCATTGGGGGGGGGGCATCAGCCCAGCCTGCACCCTCTCATGGGGAGCGGGCCTAAGCCAGCAGGCGGACATCCCTTGAGGGGTCCGCACTGCCGTGAGATGGGAGAGGCTCCCACCACCGCCGCTGTGCTCGACAGCCATGAGCCCAGCTTCTGGCTGAGTGGTACTCCCCCTGTGGGAGTGCAGTGACCACCAGGGGTAAGTTCCTGCATTGAGCCTCTGCCCCCTGGTGGTCAATGCGCATCATAGTGACTGGTCATTCCACCATTAGGTCGATTTGCATATTAGGGTTTTATTATATAGAATTCCTTTTGCACCAATAGGTGGGAGAAAGTAAAATAGTTTTGTCTCTGTTTGATGAAGCAGAGGTACAGATTAATTTGAACTATGGAGCAAACTATAAAGGGGTTTCAAATTTTTGTTCTCCTTCCTGACATTGTGCTCTCATTCTTAATGAACTGGTTCTTTCTTCCTTTTATTTTTCAGGCAAGGATGGACAAAAAACAGGCAAGTACAATTAATGTATTTCACTGTGTATTTAATTGCTTCATCTTTTCTCTATATGTCAGCTCCCCCTTCTTCTTCATTTTTGCTTTATCTTTGCCTTCAGTTCTCAATGATCATATTTTCAACTAACATACATTTCTATCATTTTGCTTTGTTATCTTCTCAGCTGAAGTTGCCATCATCATTTGTTATTCAGTTTCTCCCATACTACCTCTAATTTTTCCTACTGTTGCAATCAATGTGGACAGATCCATTCTGTCAATATAATTTTATTGACAAGTTACCTGATAAGTTTTGTACTTTTAAAATTTCTGATGTATTAATTTATCCAATAAAGACTTAGGTAAATTGATTTTTAAACCTTCCACTTTCAGTACCTCAATTCTCCTTTCTTTCAAGTGATTTTGTTTACGTTAGCTCATTTAGGCATAAATTAAAATAGAAATGCAAATACATGTAGGTTTTGTTCACAGGTGGACAAAAATATTGTGATTAAATGTGTCTAGAAACTAACCCCACATTTTCTTAGGATCGGTGGTTCAGTATTCTCTAATTCAGTGCTTTAAGCAACTTTATACCACATACCTATGCAATAATAAGAATTGACTAATCTATAATAATAAAAGCATAATATGCTAATTAGGCCACACATCCTTCTGGATGATCTTCCAGATGAAGCCAGGGCTGTGAGGGAAGCCGAGGTCCCAGGTGCCTGCCAGTGGCCGGAGGGGAGCCTGGGTCCCCTGGGGGTTAGAGGGAAGCCTGGGTCCTCGGTGCCAGAGGGAAGCTGGTGCGAGCACCCTGGGGAAGGAAAGCCTACTCTTGCATGAATTTCATGCATTGGGCCTCTAGTCAAATAATAAAAGTCTAAATAATATTGAGTATTAAGCGTTTAAGAACAATTTAAAGGTAGTCATCATACTAATATTACTAAGCTTTTTTTTTCTCCATTTAATAAATTTTCTCCTTTTTAACCAACTTTCATGTATGGACTTCTCCTATATTAAGTTCTCTCCATTTATGTCCCATTCTTTCCAATTTCTTCCTTTTTCGTTTCATATTATTCATTTCCCCCTTATAAGCATTGGTGGTTTTTTGTTTGTTTGTTTGTTTGTTTTGTTATTTTGCCAGAGACTTGTTATATTTTCACTAAGCAGTGATGAGATAAAAACCATTAGATTGATATATTCATATTTTCCCCCCTTCCCCCCTGCTCTCTCTCTCTCTCATCTCTGTCATTTAGTAGAGCCTATTTCTATGTAACTGATACATCCCCAAACCTTAAGAAATGGGAGTAGTCAACAAACTTGCTGAGTAGGTTTCCCTACCCATTGTCCTACCTGAGATGTGTAAATTCTGATGTCATTCTTTGGCCAGCTGTGAACACGAGGCTCAATCTTCCACTCCCCTTGATCATGTAGCCTAAGGGTTCACAAGTATACAAATATTTCCCTTTTTTAATTGAATTTATTGGAATGACACTGGTTAATACAATTATATAGGTTTGATATTCAAAATTCCATAGCCCATCATCTGTTCACCATATCATGTGTTCACCACCCCAAAGCAAGTCTCCATCCATCACCATTTAAGTCTTCCCACCAACTCAACCTCTCCTTTCAGCAATCATCAAGTTGTTGGAGAGATTTAGCAAAAAAAGAGAAAAACAGAGCAGTATACAAATATTTTACACAATTTTTCCTGGTTTATTTCCTACCCACCACAGTGTTTATTCTTTATATTTATGCATTTTATTGGCATAGTAGATAATTCTACAAAATGCAAATATTTTATGATACAGAAGAATTTTTTTAAGTTATACTAGTATATATAAATTCTATTTTTTTTCTGTAAATGACTTGAGAAGCTAACATCTTCAGATGTTTCTGAAAGTATAATTTTCCCCTTTATCAATAATATTTTTATTATATTTTGTTTTTAGATTGAATGGTATTTGGGAATATATCTCTTTAATGTATGCGGCAGGCTTCATAGATACAGAAGAATTTTTTTAAGTTATACTAGTATATATAAATTCTATTTTTTTTCTGTAAATGACTTGAGAAGCTAACATCTTCAGATGTTTCTGAAAGTATAATTTTCCCCTTTATCAATAATATTTTTATTATATTTTGTTTTTAGATTGAATGGTATTTGGGAATATATCTCTTTAATGTATGTGGCAGGCTTCCTCTGACTAGTGCTGCAGATACAGTTTTGGTCAGATGGATGCTTTTACTGCATTCTCATTACTTTTTAAAATATCTGTCTTGTACATGTGAGTGTGTTTGCATTTTATTCTGGAAAAAGATAGAAGGTTCAATGAAAGACAAATGATTGATACTGTTTATACCACAGGAAGGCGTATCTACTTTCTCTCATGATGTCATTTCCCATCTTAATTAATCTTGCTCCTATAAGTTGATGATGGGAGAAAGGCTCAATTCAAGTCCTATGAGTTATGCTTATCTCTCAAAGCTTCTAATCTTCTGTCTTTGTTTGATTCTACCCTATAGCAGTAGAATAGGGTACAGTAATACAATAAAATATACTTTAGTCAGCAAAGAAGCATTTAAAGCATTATCTTTCTAAATTTCCATAATATTTTCTAAAGTTCAAGTCACAAGTTCTTCCCAAACTCCTTCTTCCTTCCTGTCTTTATTTTGGCCACACTCCTTCCACTCTTCCTCCTCCCCTCCCACCTTTTTTAAAATTAATTAATTAATTTTTTTTAATATATTTTATTGATTTTTTACAGAGAGGAAGGGAGAGGGATAGAGAGTTAGAAACATTGATCAGCTGCATCCTGCACACCTCCTACTGGGGATTAATGCAATAAAATATAGTTTAGTAAGCAAAGAAGCATTATTTTTCTAAATTTCCATATTTTCTAAAGTTGAAGCCACAAGTTCTTCCCCTTCTCCTCCTTCCTTCCTGTCTTTATTTTAGCCACACTCCTTCCACTTTTCATCCTCCCCTCCCACCTTTAGTTGCTTTCCCATTTCTAGCTATCCTTCACCTAGATTTATCATCATGTTTGAAAAAAAATGAAATATGAAGATATAGTAGAGAAAGAGAACGTCCAAATGATTCAGAAGAAGAAATATGACAAAAACAGACTTAAATGGAAGAGGTAATGAGAGAAAACACAAAAGGAAAGAAAAAAAATAATGATTTTCTTTTTTATTGTTTTGCAGTTGGGACTAAATCATTCTATGCTGGTGAGTGACATGGACTCTGATGAAGAATATGCTATTATCAAAGATACCTTAAATTAACATGTAGTGTGTGCAAGAAAATATATTGAAAATCAAAGAAACTCCCAAACATGCATTTCATTAAATCAATAGACTATTCAATATATTAACAGAAGTGTTTGAAATATTAAGTTATAGTGGTTTTATTTAACTTTACTTTTATTGTTGACATTATTATAGATATCCCCATCCCCCCTCTCATTGCCCATCTCCACCCAGCCCCACTCCCCCTTTCCTCTGGCCATCACCACGCTGTTGTCTGTGTCAACAGGTTCTGCATAATGTTCTTTAGATAATCCCATCACATTCTTTTATCCATCCCCCCTTCCATGCTGAGAGTTGTCAGTGTTACACATATTCATGCCTCTATTTTCATTTTGTTTGACAGTTAATTTTATCATTAGAGTCCATATATAAGTGAGATCATATGGTATTTGTGGAATACTGCATGGCAGTTAAAAATAAAAACCTCTTACCTTTTTGACAGCATGGATGGACCTAGAGATTATTATGCTAAGTTAAACAATCCTGTCAGAGAGAGACAAATAGCAGCTTTTTAAAAATATTGTATCTCACTTTATGCTCTGATAGATAAAGGATGAGGTAACGAAAGCAAAAACATGTATCTGGCTATACAGGTAGTATTCTTTATTTCTTTCCAGTTTCCTAAATAGGTTATAGACACCAGATGCAAAGTTCAGATGAAGAACATAAGGATGAGTCAGTTCTTCAAGTCAGATATAACTCAGCAGGCTGTGAAAAGAGGTGCAAGTACATGGACAAGTATTTCCATTG